AAGGAAGGAACAAAGAGGAAAAAAACCTGTTATGAATTATGAGAGGAAGCTTAGTGTTTTCCTAGGCAAGGAATGGCCCAGATGACTTCTCAATGATCTGTTGTTGCCCAATTGTAGCAGCTAACGTTTATCATTTACTCTGTGGCCACCTCTGGGCTCAGTAGGCTAATTACATTGCCTCATTTTAATGCCACTTCAGAGATGTGGGGACCATGGCTCAGTTACTTAATTAGAAGAAAGTCAAGATCCAACCTGGGCCACCTGGGCTCATGCTCTTAAAAACAACTATGCTAAACTGCCCTCACCATAATCCAAGTGATATACGTACGTGTCAATCTCTCTCCCTCCTCCTTTCCTTCCTCCTTCCTTCCTTTCCTTCCTTCCTCCCTCCCTCTCCCCCTCTTCACCAAACACCCTTACTATCTTCCCTTCATCCAAAACATGAAAGAAAACACATCCCAAAGGACAGGCCCAAGGTCTAATTAGTCAAAAAAAAAACAAAAAAAAACAAAAGAAAAAAAAAAAAAAACAGGCAAACTCCTTTCTTTTCTTTACCTAGTTGAGTAAACAAAGCTGTTGCTAGAATGACGTAATGGTGCCTAGCCCAGAGAGGCGTGGAGAGCCGTTGTGAAGAGGAACACCCACAGAACAAGCAGATTATTTACGGGGTGAGGACAGGGAGGGCATTCCACATTCTGAGCCTGCTGGGTCCCCTCTGATACTCCATTTCCTGACCGTGAGCAGAGAGAGGAGGCTGTGAGCAGAGGAAGTATCTCCACTGAGGCATGCAGGGACACACCAGGCCCCCTACACAGCGAATTCCCAGGTGTGGCTCTGATGGCCTCACACCCTTTAGGTGGGCGCATCTCCACATAAAACGGGAGAGTGCAGGATCCTAGGTTATTAACCTAAATTCAAATTCAGGTTCTCAGAGGATGCAGTTAACGAGCTTCTCCACCAGCACAGAGATTCAAAGGACGTCCTTTGAACTTGTGGACATGAAAAGCTGTTGCTGAAATGTTGTGCTTGCATTTGGGGCTAATTATAATGAGCTGTCAGCTGATGGAGGCATCAATAGACGCTCTGTTTGATCCCTTGCAGGCTTTTTTATTCAACTTGTGATGAATAAGCCAGTTGTCAAGAAGTCTGATTCAGTTGACTACATTCCTCTTAAGTGACAAATATGGGCTAGTAGTGGCACTTCTTTATTCCAAGGTATATTCTATTTCTTCCTCTGCTCTATGCTCTGAGTCTCACGGATCTGTCATGTGGGTGTAATGAAGGTCTTCTGCAGGCTCAAGGGCTCAGTTTTGAAGCTGTTAATTACTTAGTAATAGCTTGATATTTATTCAGCATCCATGAAGGGCCTCCTTCCCTCTCCAAACTATCAGCCACACATACCACTGATCTGCCTTCCTTAGTTTTCCATCCCCAAGTTCCCTTCAATTTAAGAACTATGATTCCTCTGTGCCTATGGCAGGGGCCAGGCTGTTAATAAAATGAAGTGGACCAGGTGTAGGAATAAAGAAAGTGACACTTAACCCTGTGTTGGAGGTGGTGGTGGGAGCAGCAGTGGGGACTGGGGTGAACTGAGAATGCTTGCTCTGTCCAAGCAACCACTACTTGGCTTTTTGCTGGCATGGAACAATGCAGGCCTGGTGTGGCGAGATCTGCCAGTGTTCAAAGGAAATCAGAATTCCAGATTTTTATTGCCTCACAACTTTGAATGTTGATATTAAAAATATAAATTTTACTTTCAAAATAAACTGTAAACAAACCCTGAACTCTTACTAATAGCATATTGAAGTATTTACAGGGAAGTGTATAGTATAGATGTCTGCAGTTCACTCTGATATTCATCAAAACATAAGATGGATGGATGGGTATTAATAAAAAGTATGGCAAAGATTACTCAGAGTTTGGGTGGTGGATATACAGGTGTTTACTGGAAAATTTTTTCAATCTTGCTATGTGCTTGAAAACCTTCATGATAAAATGGTGAATAAAAACCACTAAAGGCTAAGCAAACAGCATCTATGGGCCAGAATGATCCATAGATAGCCAATTTGGGCTCTGTGGTCTACAGCATGAAAGTGTGAACTGCACTGCTCAGCTTCCAAGGTCTCTGGAGTCTTTCCTCTGTCCTTCCCCATCTCTCGATCCCCAATTCATTAATTTTTTATTTTTATTAATTCTCACCCAAGGATATTTTTTCCACTGATGTTTTAGAGAGAAGGAGGGGGAGGAGGAGAGAGAGGGGGGGAGAGAGAGAGAGAGAGAGAGAGAGAGAGAGAGAGAGAGAGAGAGAGAGAGAGAGAAATTGATGTGAGACACACATCAATTGGTTGCCTCCTGCACTCGCCCTGACCAAGGCCAGTCATCAAACCTACAACCCATCGAACCTACAACCCTTTGGTACCGGGGCCAACACTCTAACCATTGAGCAACACTGCCCAGGGTCCCAATGCTATTTTTGGTCTCACTTTTTCCCATGTACCAGTAAAGCCAGGACTCCCAAAGTCTACCTGACACTCACTTCTTGTTCATGTCTGTGGCAGGTCCAGATTATCAATCCCTGGGCACCTGGCTACACACACACACACACACCATCTTCAAACACTAGCTTAAGTCACTCCTAGGTGCCTTCATGAAGCTATCTCCAACCTACGCAGATCTTTCTCTCTCAGGAGGATCTCATGATCAGTCCTATGTAACTGAGCATCATTTCCAGAAGTGCTTCCTGGTGTTAAATTTGTCTTCCCCAAGAAGCTACAAGAGGGTGAATAGCACATCTCCTTCCATCACACCTAGCCCTAGCACATGCTGCAGGGCCTGGACTCTTTCCCACAGCAGCTCGTCAAAATTTACATGGAGAGCTTTATTAAGAAAAAATTTTAAGAAAGATATACAGATATGCCAGGGCCTCAACCAGACTTACTAAGAACAGGAATCTCAGGGTGTGGTTGGGCTTGGGCCTGTCTGATGTTTATGAAGCTGGCCAGGTGATCTGCCTGGCATCCAGGGCTATGAGCCACAGTCTCCAGGGCAGAGCGTTATACTTAGTGATCATGTGCTAAGCCCTTTAAAATGTCCAAACGACAGTCTTTAACCCTTTAGAGAAGTGCTTCTCCAGATACTTAGCCATGTCTGAAGATATTTTTGGCTATCACACATGGGGGAAAGGGTGCTACTGGCATGTAGTGGGTGGAGAACCAGATTCTGTTAAACATCCTACAATGCAAAACTTAGCCCTCACAATGAAGAATTATCTGGCCTCAAATGTCAACAGTGCCCAGGTTGAGGAACCTGCCCTAGGCTGGCACTGTCCAACAGAACTTTGTTATGATGGAAACATTATACAGCCCTCTGTCCAATAATGATACCCACCAGAGACATGTAGCTACTGAGCACTTGAAAGGTAGCGCCCAGCCGGGCGTGGCTCAGCAGTTGAGCATCGACCTAAGATCCAGGAGATCATGGTTCAATTCCTGGTCAGGGCACATGCCTGGGTTGTGGGCTTGATCCCCAGCAGGGGGTGTGCAGGAGGCAGCCGATCAACAACTCTCTCATCGTTGATGTTTCTTTCTCTCTCCCCCCACTCCCTTCCTCTCTCTGAAATCAATAGAGATACATTAAAAAAAAAAAAAGTAGCTAGTATAACTGAGGAATTAAATTTTTATTTATTTGATTTTAATTAATTTAAATGTCAACAACCACTTGTGCTTAGTGGCTACCATATTGGACAGCAAAACCCTGGATCTTATAATGATCAGCAATTCTAACAACACTCCATACTCTAAGACTGTCTACTTTTCACATGCCTTATGAGATTATTACAGGCAATCCAAGAATGGCCCTGGGGACATGGGTGTGACTTGCTTCTCACAGAGCTCCTGGCACATGAGAGTTCAACTACCACATCCACCCTGCAGGCCTGGAGGTGGGAGTGAGCCCAGGGCCACCATCCCTCACTCTGCAGGGATTCCTTTTCCCAGTGATACAAGCCACAGTGGAAGCATTTCCTCTCACCCCCCTCACCTTGATGGTTTCTAGTTCCATGCGAAGGCGGTTATTTTCTGACAGGAGGTCCCTGTTCCTGGTTTCAATTTGTTGTAGCTGTGTCTCCAATTCAGCCTCATATTCTCGGCTTCCCTCCTGGAATTCTCGGAGCTCCTCTTGTGTATTCTCTGCCCTACAGCAGAATTCACAGATGTCAGATAATAATATACTGAGCATTTACATGCTGCATAGTCTTATACATGGCTCAGCTCTTTATTCAACTACCTTTTAAGACAGAAACTATCATTATCCTCATTTTACAGATGAAAAGATGAGGTTTAGACAAAATGAGTGACTTGTCTCAAGGTCACGTAAGAAGCCAGAAACAGAGCTTGGACCTGAACCCAGGAATGCCTGACGCCAAAGCCATTTCTTAACCAATTCACTCTTCACTCATTCATTCAACATACATTTCTGAGCCCAACATATAGTAAATATACTTGGGATGTGTATCCTTGGCAGATTTATTTATAAGTAGAAATTGGACATAATATAAATGTCATTTAACACACCATTATAATGTTCCATAAAGAAGATAAAAATCATGCCTCTAGAAGAAAATATACAACTTTAATATAAACAATGAAGACACTGAATTGGTTAAAGATTTTGCTTACCTTGGTCCAGTCAATTCAATTGGACACTGCAGCCAAGAAATCAAGAGAAGGCTGAGACTCAGAAGAATTAGGAAAGATCATCAAGAGCAAAGATGTGTCATTAGAGACGAAGGCTGAGATCATCCAAACCCTCATATTCCCAATTACTATGCATAGATGGGAAAGTTGGACAGTGGAGGAAGCAGACAGTAAAGGAAATGATTCACGTGAAATACGATGTTGGAGTAGAGCTCTAAAGATACCGTGGACCACCAAAAAGACTAACAAGTGATTCCTAAAGCAAATTAAGCCTCAAACATCACTGGAGGCAAAAATGACAAAAGTGAAGCTACTTTGGACACATTATGAGAAAGAGGATTTTTCGGAAGAGACAATAATGCTGGGAAAACAGAAGGCAGCAGGAAAAGAAGACCAAATATGAGATGGACTAACTCCATAAAAGCAGCCATCAGTTTGCCCTAGTTGGTTTAGCTCAGTGGTTACAGTGTTGGCCCATGGCCTGAAGGGTCCCAGGTTCGATTCCAGCCAAGGGCACATACATACCCCAGTTGCACGTGAGGAAGGCAATCATGTTTCTCTCTCTCTCTTCCTTCCACTCTCTCTGAAAAGCAATGGGAAAAATAATATATCCTTGGGTGAGGATTAAAAAAAAAAAAAAAAGAAGCCATAGGCTTGAGTCTACAGGAGCTAAGTAGGGCTGTTCAAGACAGGACATTGTGGGCATCACTCATTCACAGAGTTGCCAGGAATTGGAACCAACTCAATGGCACACACACATAACGTGTCCCCACTCCATCCCAAACACCCAATTCTAGCTTCTCAATACTGAAAATGCAAGGGATATTTTTTTAAAAAAATACCAGCCTAAGTTATCTTTAAGTCAAACTAAGAATAAAGAAATTAGAGGGACTGGAATAAGACATCCACATGGAGATTATGAGAGTCCATGAGAAACAAAAGAAACAATACTGCGCGTGTACGTACGTATACACACACACACACACACACACTC